CCCCTGACCCAGCCTGAGCTGCTCCCCCTGTTCCCACAGGAAACGCCCTGGAAGGACCGTGTACGCCCAGATGCACAATGAGAAGGAGCAGGAGATGACGAGCCCCGTGAGCCACAGCGAGGACGCCCAGGGCACCGTGCAGGGTGAGCGGCTTGCAGACCTGGCCCAGCCTGGGCCCTCCCTCGGTCCCTAGGACAGACAGGCCTCTGGGGCTCGGGCAAGGATGTGTACCCAGGCTGCCCACAAAGACAGTGAGGGCACGGGTGCTGCCCACCCCAGGCCTGCACGCAGCGCAGTGGGCAGCTGAGCAGCCCAGCAGCCTCCACTCTCTACAAGGTCTCTAGAAGGGACCAGGAAGGACCTCACTTCCACCACAAGAAAAGCTTCTTCTGAGCACTGTCACCTCCTTGGTGCAGGGCTAGGGTGTCACAACCACTTGGGGACAGGACCCCAGCCTGAGGGGTCACTCAGTGAGCTCCGGGCAGCCCCAGTCCCAGATGACCTCCTGAGTCCACGCCACCACTTGTGAAGAGGCACTGGCATGATGTCTGTGTCACCAAAGGGAAGCCTGAGGGTCAGAGTGATTTGGGGTGTAGTCCACTCAGACCCTGCTGGGGCTCTGAGGCTGGGGTCACAGCAGAGGCCCCACCTGTGCCTCTGCCCCACCAGAGCCAGGTTAGAAGGTGGCTGGTCAACCTCAGGGGTCCACCCAGCTCCATGCATCCCATTCTCCTTCGTGCGGGACTGAGGCTGCAGGTCTCAGACAGGTGCTGTCCACCTGCGACAACACCTGTCCTCAAGTGTCCTGAAAATAATGAGCCCAAACATCACTACAGGCAGGGCTGCTGCCCCATTCTGCCAACAGCAAAATCAAGGTCCAGCTGGGAAGGGCCCGGGCGAGCCTTAGAGAGGAGAGGCCAGTGAGGTACAGAGAAGTACAGAACTATACAAACACACAGAAAGTGGAGGGAGGCGACGGTGGCTTCTGGTGAGTGGATCACTCCACCGTCATGTGGCCACGAGGTGGGAAGTCCACAGGCCAGTCAGCAAGGGTTCACTCCACTGTCATGTGGCCACGAGGTGGGGAGTCCACAGGTCAGTCAGCAAGGGTTCACTCCACAGTCATGTGGCCACGAGGTGGGAAGTCCACAGGTCAGTCAGCAAGGGTTCACTCCACCGTCATGTGGCCACGAGGTGGGGAGTCCACAGGTCAGTCAGCAAGGGTTCACTCCACAGTCATGTGGCCACGAGGTGGGGAGTCCACAGGTCAGTCAGCAAGGGTTCACTCCACTGTCATGTGGCCACGAGGTGGGGAGTCCACAGGTCAGTCAGCAAGGGTTCACTCCACCGTCATGTGGCCACGAGGTGGGGAGTCCACAGGCCAGTCAGCAGTGTAGAGACGCTGTAGCCTCACAGGACGGAGGACCCAGTAAGTCCTGACGTTCCTGGCTCAGGTGATGCCCCAGGGGCTGGGTGTCACAGGCTGGACTGTTACCTGAAAGGGCAGGTGTGCTGAGGGAGCAGGGGCGTCTCCTCACCTGCTGTAAGGATGACCAGCCTCAGAAAGCCGGTGGAGGGTCCCAGAGATCAACTCCATGGTGCTGTCACCGAGGGGGGTTCGTCATGCTCCGTGACCGTCCCTCATTATAGACACAGCGTGTCACCACGGAGGACGGTGACATCACACCACATCACGTTACACCCTAGAGAGCAGCTGCTCTGAACCCCCTGTGGAGGATGGGGAGCCCCTCGCCGTGCCCTTTCAGGGCACGGCATCATGTCGCCTCACGTGACAGGACCAGGGAGGGTGGCTGCATTCCGTCACATCATCACTGTCCTTGGTGCTAAATGACATCACGTCATGCAGGACAGTCCTCTCACGTCGCAGGACAGCCACCAGTCCAGTGTTTTCACGCTGCTGGAGCCAGGCCATCAGGGGACTGTCCTGGGGCTCAGGCTTGGCACACATTGGTGGCCACTCTGTAGAAGCAAAGGCCTTTCCTTGCTGGGTGGACACTAGGCGGAGGGGAGAAGGCAGCTCCCGGTGTGGTCAGTGCTGGCCCCGCTGGCCATGTCCAGCCTTTGCCCCTCCTCCCTGTGCAGCTCTGCTCCCCCATCCCCCCAGCTAATCTCTGTGTCTCTGACATCACTTTGTAGCTCTGTCCCTGCCCAGGGCTTCCCAACTAACCTCTGTCTCTGATGGTCACCTTTGGTCATCGGGCTGGTCTCACCGGGTCATGGCCGGTGGTGGCCACTGCCAGGAGGGGCCACCACGAGAGCCCCTTGCATATGCCATTGCTGCTGACGTGGAGATCGGGCCAGTGGCAGGTCAGTGGGGCAGCGTGCAGGGCTGGTCACGGCCACCACCAGCACTTCGGGTCCACTACCTGAATAGCATGCGTGAGGCCCCCTCACCACCCAGGACACACACCCCTGCCCCCAGCTGCCCCAGCTGCTCACTGCAGGGACCGGTGATCCCCCTGCACGCTGGCCTGCCACCATGCTGTACCCCCACATGACCCCCCAGCTGTCTGGACCTCAGCTGTGCTGACCTGGACCTCTGTCTCCTAGGCAACCACTCGGGCGTGGTCCTGAGCATCAACTCCCGTGAGATGCATAGCTACCTGGTGAGCTGACGCCCACGGACCCTCCTGGCTCCTCCTGTCTCCCTCCATGGAAGTGGCTGGACACGCCCCGGTGCTGCCCAGCACCACCAGCCACCAAGGGACGGCCACCTCCTGTTGTCCACGTGCTGGCAGAAGCTCCTCTGTCCGGTTCAACCTTCCGCTCTCGGGTAGGGCTCGAAGCTGCCAGCGCCGGACGCCTGGACTCTGTAGATGCTCTGATCACAGACACTAGACACACAACTCCCTGGACTCTGCCCGGTGCCCCCACAATCATCCCCCCACAGCCCTGACCCTGCACAGCTGAGACTGGCCACTTGACCAGGTGGAGGATGCCATTGACCTCAGCAGGGGGACACAGAGCTCTTCCTTGGTGGTCGTGCTCTGGCCCCTGTGTCCCGCACTGACCCCTCTCTCCATGCCCCGCGGCCCCTCTGGAATCTTCAGGTAGAAAGGCAAGGGCACGGGGTTGGGGTGCTGACTTGATGTTGCACGGTGGCTGCCTTTTGGGTGCCCTTATCAGAGCCTCTTCTCGGGGACCCCCTCTCCACAATGCCCAGGGTTTCCTGCTCACCAGGTCCTGCTCAGCCCCTCCAAGCCAGCAGAGACCCCCACATGACAGGGCCTGTGCACCTCACGGCCACCAGTAGCCGGCACCCCGCACACCTGTCCCACGTGAGGTTCCCCCTTTGGGGTCCAGCCGAACTCCAATTTCGTGTTTTCTTACAGCTGAGACCAGGGGACCAAACCAGGAGAGAGTTGGGGGTCAGAGCTGGGACGGGTCAGAACCACGCTCCTTATTCTGAAGACAGGGAATCTGAGGCCCAGAGAAGGGGACAGGCATGCAGGTGGCACTAGCCATGCCCTCTGACCCCATCCTCACCTCAGTCAGGGACTATACACGTGCATTGTGGGGGCGCCATCTGGTCAGTTCTGACTCTGAGACCCAGGACGTGTGGGTGTGGGAAGGGGTCTCGCCTCCACCTTGACAGGGAGTCACCTCCTCTCCTCCTCCTCCCCATCCCCTGCTTCTTCCTCTTCCTCCCCACCTTCCTCCTCCACTCTTCCCCATCCGCCTCTTCCTTAGCTCCTCTTCCTCTCCTTTCTCCTCCCCTCTTCCACATCCCCTCCCCCTCCCCTTTCTCCCTCCCCCCTTCTCCCCTCCCCTTCCTTCTCCCTCTTCCCCCCTCCCATCCCCTTCCTCTCCATTCTAGCACCTTCTCCACTTCCTCCTCCTCTTCCTAGGCTCTAGAGAGTTGTGGCCTTTCTCTCAGAGACTGGATGCTGGAATGTCCAGGATGCTGGACTCCAGGGCTCCTGAGCACATTCCTAGTCAGGACTTGCACCCTCGGGGTGGGAAGGCCCAGGGGAGCCCCACACAGGAGGCAGGGGGAGTTTGATAGACCCGCAGACTGGTGCTCCCCTGGCACGGGGACCAGGCAGGAGCAAGGAGCTGTCTGGTGCCCTCATGCCTCGCCTTGGCATGTCCCCGGGGGTGCTCTGAACCACCTCTTCTGAGGGTACCCTGCCAGCTGAGCAAGGCTTGGAGTGGAGACCTAGGAAGACACTCGGGGGACCTTCTCAGCAGCCCCATCTGCTGGTGGTCTCCAGCGACTCTGAGCAGGGCCCACTGCCCAGCACCCCGTCCTCCTGGCCTGCCACCCACCACACGTCTTAGCAGAGAGCCTCCCCCAGTACCCCCTCCCAGCTGCCCACCTGCCCGCGAGCGTCAGACACAGCCAGACACCATCCGCACAGTCTCTGAGGTCTGCACAGAATATTCCAGAAACCGCCCCTCCCCCAACTCACCAGTGCCTGTGGGTGGGTAAGCATTTCAGGTGTCAGACCCTCTAATCCCTCGGCCCTCCAGCCGTGGGGCAGGACCCCCCCTTACTTCAGTGTTTCTGGGGTTTTGTGTTATTGCTGTTTGGAATGGTTTTGGGGGTAGACCCTGGGACTGGACCACTGTGGTCCTCACGCCACCTGCGGGGCCCTGACGGAAACATGAATGAAGCTCTGTTTGCTGTACAGGTATGTGCAGGCTTGTGAACGGGAGCTGCCTGGGGAACCCCACACCCGTCCCGCAGGGTGGCCCCCGTCTCGTGTCTGCACACACAAGATGCAGCCTTTCTTATTGTTCCTTTTTAAAATCAATAAATAATTTGTGATGCTTTTAACAAAGTCCAGTGAGCCTGGTCCACTTCCCCTCACTCACATCTCCCAGCATTCGCTTGTTGGGTAAGTGCACTTCCCTCCCTTCTGGCCAGGACTAGTGGCCAGCAGTGCCTGACCACTGGTACAAGGGGGTGGCTGGTTCTGGAAATGACACTAACCTTTGTGGTCACTGGGTGGGGACGTGCTGTCTAACGTAAGCATGGTTGACTGCCTCCTTGGAAGTCAGCTGAGCAGATGATGACAGATGCTGCAGAGGCCACAGCCTGACGCGGAGCCCGGGACCCAGTGTGGCCAGCTGAGGCTTTCCTGGTTGCTGAAATGAATTTTGGTTAATGACTGAACCAAACATTTTCACATTAAACATTATCTGGCAGATGAACCTTTCATGTACCCAGCTGACATGCTGGATCAGATGTGGTCGCTTTTCCTGGTGGCCAAGGGGCATTGTCCAGTGTCCCCCCTGTGATGTCCAGCCTAATCTTGTTTCTCTGGGAGGGTCTATAGTTGGGGAGAAGGGGCAGATAGTGCAGGTGCAGACCCGCTCTGGGTTGCTCACACCTTTGCTGAGTGGTGACCAGGTCCAGGACCAGGTTTAAAAGGAGCAGGGTCTGTAGGGAACGTGGGACTGGCCAGGTCTGACTTCCACTGACTCCACGCAGGACAACTCTCCGTATGTAAGATCAGTTATAAAACTGATCCTGCGGTGAGACTCAGTCCCCTAGTGCAGCACCCACTTCTGCTAATCGCCAGGTTGGCTGTTCATTGCAACAATGATGGGGTGTATTAGGGAAACGGGCTAGGGGGTGTGGCGGAAGGCAAAGCGAAAGTCCAGGTTCAGTCCAGCAGCATAAAGGCAGGACGCCTCTGGTTCCCCAGTTCTCTGGTAAACCTCATCTCGGGAAAGCCCCAAGCCAGCTTTCCTTTCCGTCATCCAGAAACAAAACCTTTAACTCCAGCTCCATCCCCAGGGCTGCCTCGGCTATGCCTTGCAGCAGTCTCTCCTCTGTCCAGCCTGTTCCCCCTGTTATGCTGACCCCAGAGCTGTTAATGATGTAGAAGATGCTGGTTGATGGTGACCATGTGTCTACAGTTGAGGCAACTGGAGACCACACTTCAAAAGAAGGTGAAGGCAATGGCCAGAAAGACCATGTCCAGGAGACCTAACAGCACCCAGGGGAGGGGGGGGGGGTGCTGGAGTGGACGCCGAGGACAGCTGAGCCAGAAGCGGAGAGAGATGAGAGCCTTTCACCCTGAGCTCTTTCTGCAGGAAGGTGCTTCCCGGGCCACCGTCCCACGTAGCACACTCACATGTGAGCGCGGCCTCAGTGTAGTTCATTCGTCAGATCAGGGGCTCACGATGTTGTTTCCACGGTGTAGCGTTGTTATTGTGTGTGTGGAGTCAGAGCTGACACACAGCTGACCCACCAGCTGGTTTTCAGAGGCTGTAATCACACAAGAGTGGACTGCTGCAGAGTGGCTGGTGGATTGGAACTGCCCGCCTTTGGGTGGAGAGCACAGCTCCTTATCCACTAGGCCACCAGAGCACCTGTATCATTATGTACTTGCACCTGTGTGAGGCATATGTGAGATAGATGCCATCAGCCTCACCCCCACTGAGCCCCCGGCACACTTCTTTCAGGACTTGTGTGAGCTGTGGGTTTGTTGATGAAAATGGATTTCACAGGCCATTTCCTTGGACGTTTGCCACGTGGCTGGTGGGAATGTACAAAGAGGGTGTGAAGACTATTAACACTGGAATTAGTCAGTTTCACCATCTTGCCAGCTTTAAATTAAGAAAATTTAGCAGCAGAAAACAGGAATCTCTTCCAGAAAGAAAGAAGAGATTGCAGCATAAATTCTTTGGGGCCATGGGTGGTGTTTGTGGATCTGAGTCAGATGAAATCTTTGACAGTTTCACTCTTTTCTCCATAGATGATGATGGTCCAGTGGTAAGAATTTTTGTTTTCTTGAGGTTGAGATATAACCTGCGTTGAAGGCTGGAGTCTCTGATCTTTCGCATCAAGTGCTTCAAGTCCTCCTTGATTTCAGCAAGTGAAGTGAGGCCACTGAATAACACAGGAATCTTCCTCCGATCTTGATGCCACGATCTCCATCACAGAGTCAAGCTTCTTGAATTATTTGCTCAGCATACAGATTGAATAGCTATGGAGGGAGGATACAGCTCTGACACACTCCTTTCTGGATTTTAAACCATGTTGTGTTTCCTTGCTCTGTTCGCTCAGCAGCGTCTCGGTCTCTGTGTAGGTTTCTCCTGAGCACAATCACCTGTTCTGGTTCCCATTCTTCCCAATGTTAGCCATTATTTGTAATGATCCACACAGTCAAATGCCTTTGAATAGTCAAAAAGCACAAATCAACATTCTTCTGGCATTTCCTGCTTTTATCTAGGATCCATCTCTCACCAACAATTATATCACTGGTGCCATGGACTGTTCTAAACCCAATTTGAACTTCTGGCAGTTCTCTATGTCCCGTTCTAGCCATTTTTTTTGGATGGTTTTCAGCAATATTTTCCTTGCAGGTAATACTGATACTAGTTGTTGAAGAATTTCCACATGATGTTGCATCATCTTGTCGGGGAATGGGACCTCTTCCTGTCCGTTGGCCAGGTGGTTGTCATCCAAGTTACCTGGCAAGAGCTGACAAGCATGCCTCAGGCTACATCTGTTAGTGGAAATATGTCAATTGCCGTCCCATCTATTCTGTGAAGCTTATTTTTTTGCCGATGCCTTCAGTCCAGCTTCAACGTCTTCCTTCATTACCACTGACTCTTGATCATATGGTTCTTTCTGAGATATTTCAGCGCCGGTCAATTC